CAGGAGAAGAGGGAGGGTAAGTTGCTTCCTCCCCGCCTCTCCCCACCCCTGCCTGCCTGGGGCCAGGGAGGGCCTTCGCGGGGCTTCCTCGCACTCCCGCCGGCTTTGCAGGTCCACCGCCAGGACCGTTGGGGGCGGGGTGTGTGGCCTTATGACACACTTCCGGTGATGTCAGGGGGTGTGGCCTTATGACACACTTCCGGTGATGTCAGGGGGTGTGGCCTTATGACACACTTCCGGTGATGTTAGGGGGTGTGGCCTTATGACACACTTCCGGTGATGTCAGGGGGTGTGGCCTTATGACACACTTCCGGTGATGTTAGGGGGTGTGGCCTTATGACACACTTCCGGTGATGTCAGGGGGTGTGGCCTTATGACACACTTCCGGTGATGTCAGAGGGTGTGGCATATGCTAATGAGTTATACTAATGAGGCCCCCTAGCTCTTTTTCTACGAAACGACCCCTGGAGGGAGCAGTGACCTGGTCTGCTGCTCAGCCATATCCCTCCCCACCTTGCAAGGCATCGTCTGCAACACTACGTGCCGGGGAGGTCTCAAGGAGGCACAGAGACAAACGCACAGGGCCACAGCAATGACGGTTTCTCCCCAGTTTGCATTTCAGAATGACCCAGTCCTGGGAGAACTTTCCCAAATGTTTCAATCGGCTCTCATGTCCCAGTCCTTCTGCGTCAGCAGGGCTGGCGAGGAGATGGAGGGGAAGCGTGACCTGAACGTGTGGGAGGCATGGGCGGTCCGGGGGTGTAAATCCCACACCGCTTCCAGCTCCTGTCAGAATCAGTGGATGCGTCCAAATTGGCCCACTGGACAATTTTCAGAATTGCCACTGGACTGTTTTGGTTTGCAGAAATTCGTCTCTGTGCACCAGTGCTAGGGTTGCCAACTTTGGGGTGGGAAGTTCCTGAAGATTTTGGTGGTGGAGACTGGGGAGGGGAGGACATCACTGGGGGTACAATGCCACCTTCCACCCTCCAAAGTCCACCTTCCGCCCTCCAAAGCAAGGGAACAGATATCTATTTGTTGTAATACTGGGAGATCTCCAGGCCCACCTGGAGGCTGGCAACCCCAGGGGTCATTTCATAGAAAATATGGTGCAGGAGCTCATTAGCATAACTTATTAGCATAACTTATTTGCATGCGTCACACCCCCTGACATCACCGGAAGTGTGTCAGAAGGCAACACCCACCGCTCAGGCTCCACTGGACTCTTTTGGATTGCTAGCTATTGGAGTGGGGGGGGAACGTGCAGATCTGCCCTTGCAGAGGAGGGAGAGCTTGTACCTGAATAAAACCTGGTCTTAAAGGTGCCACTGGACTGTTTTGGATGGGGGGGGGAACGTGCAGATCTGCCCTCACAGAGGAGGGAGACCTTGTACCTGAAGGTGGGCCGGGGGGGAGCCTCTGCAGCTTACCTGGCTGCTTCTTGCTCCTCATGGCCCGACTGAGGGCTGCTGGGAGCAGGGGGCGGGGCTTGTTACATGTGCCCACCCCCTGGGCTCCTTACTGCCGGAGCTCCGCTCCTGTGTGCTCCCACAGGAAATGACCCCTGGGCAACCCTATGTGCCACAGGAAAGGAAGCCCAGTGTTCTCTGGTTGCCAATTCTGGGTTAGGAAGTACCTGGAGATTTGGGGTGGTGAAACCTGGGGGAGGGCAGTTTGGGAGGGGGGGGGCACGTCGGCAGGGGACAATGCCACAGAGTCCGCCCTCCAAAGCTGCCATTTTATCCAGAGGAGCTGATCTTGGTCATCTGGAGATCCATCGTAATTGTGGGAGATCTCCAGGTGCCACCTGGAGGCTGGCAACCCAACCTTAGCAAGGGCTGTGGCTCAGCGGAAGAGCACCTGTTTGGCATACAGAAAGTCCCAGGCTCTATCTCCGGCATCTCCAGTTAAAAGGACCAGGCTGTAGGTGATGGGAAAGACTTCTCCCTTGGGACCTTGGAGAGTGACTGCCAGTCAGAGTGGACAAGACTGACTTTCATGGATGAAGAAGAGTCTGATTCAACAGAAGGCAGATTCATGTGTTCTATGGTTTTCATCCCAGCACACAGAGGAAGAAGAAAAAGAGATTGAATTTATACCCCCGACCCTTCCCTTGGAGTCTCAGAGCAGCTTGCAAACTCCTTTCCCTTCCCCTCCCCACAACAGGCACCCTGTGAGGTGGGTGGGGCTGAGAGAGCTCTTGACACAAACTGCTCTTTTTCAAGGACGGCTGTGCCAGAGCTTGTGACTGACCCAAGGTCACATCAGCAGGTGCAAGTGGAGGAGTGGGGAATCAAACCCGGTTCTCCCAGATTAGAGTCCGTGCACTTAACCACTACACCAAACTGGCTCTTACTCCAAACTGGAGGAGGTCATGGGGTGTATGCAGGACCCAGCTGAAAATGCCAGAAGGCGGTTTCTGAAAAGGTTACCGACCGAGTTGTGTGGGCCAGACCTAACGCCCTCATAGATCAACTTCCTTCTTAGGAAGGGATTTTTCTTTTAAACTATTAAAGTCAGGACATTCTCAGTGCTGGGGAGCAGAGAGGAAGAAGGTGGGAAAGAGGGCCTTTCACCACATGATCAACTGGCGCCTGATAGTAGAAAAATGTGCCTTTTGGAGCCAAGCGGCCAGCAGATTGCAAAACAACGGAGGCTGGAGGTTCCCCCCCATATGACAGGAGTTCTGTCCATGCAAATGCATCTGATTCGGACAACAGACATGTCGCTTTTCCAGACGGGGGTCCCACAGGGAGGAGTGCTCAGGAAGTGAATGTGTGAACTAGCCTATTAAGGATACAGCTGGGCTCCGCACCCAACTTTCAAAAAGTTTTTAGCTTGTCACGTCTTCTTTCCCCCGAGGAATTAGTCGAATCGCAGTGAGAGCACTGAGAATTCTGAACAGGAGCGCTGGGAACACTTCAGACAGAGTAAGGCAGGTTATGAAGGAGTAACAACGGAATCGCCGACAGAATATCCTCATCGGCTTGTATTAAAGGATGGCTGCAGAGAACCGCTTGAACAGGTGTAGGTTGCACTTGCAGATGACCTTGGAACCCTCAGAGGGCAAGCCCGTGCCACACAGAACTCTGGGAACTGTAGTTCTGCCAGGAGGACTGGTGGTGGAAAGTGCTGTCAAGTGGCAGCCAACTTATGGTAACCCCATAGGGTTTTCAAGGTGAGGGGCGGCAGGGGCGATTTGCCCTTGCCTGCCTCTGCCTCACAACCTTGGTCTTCCTTCGCAGTCTCCCACCCAAGCACTAACCAGGGGTGACCCTGCTTCACTTCCGAGATCTGACGAGATCGGACTAGTCTGGGCCAGCTAGGTCAGGGCAAGAGAATTAGGGACCTGAAACAGGATTCCCGGCACCAGGGGTCATTCCGTAGAAAAAGAGGTGCATGGCCTCATTAGCATAACTCATTAGCATAGCTTGTTTCCATAGGCCACACCCCCTGACATCACCAGAAGTGTGTCAG